AGATAGATAGATAGATAGATAGATAAGGGTGTATGGAGATAGATAGATGAAAACAACTTACAACAGCGAGCTAGATTTCAAGAGGACACATGAATTGACTGATTTACAGCTGGGTCACCAAGATCAGAATCCAGCCCTGACCCCATTGATGTCAGTCGATAAATAACCCTGCCCTGGCTGCTGTGCTCTGAGTTGCCCCCAGCATCCCTCGGGCACAACTTTCCTTGTCTTTCATTTTCAACAAGTTGGAGGAAAATTGATTCTCATATTTTGCAGGTGTTTAAAAATATTTTCTCCTTCACTGATACAGTGTGTGTGAAGAGGGGACAACTTTGGGGTGTTTTCCCCTCATTTCCCCACTGATTTGAAAACAATACAAAGGGGTTAGGAAGGTTAGAAACCCCCAAATCCCAGTCCGACAGTTTTCAGTTCATTCTCACCCCAGGTCCACCCGCCATTGGCCGATTGCACTAGGCCAGGAGGTGGCACCACAGCAGCTCCCCCAAATGTCCTGATCAGGGCTCCCCACCCCCTGACCCCCAAGAGATAAGGGGACCCCAGGGACCCAGCCGGAGAACCAGCCCCATCTGCTCGGGTAGTGGCCATGACCATGGGGTCAAGGGGCTCCCGTCTGGCTCTGGGGCAATGTGGGGGGTTGGGGGGGCCAGTGGGAGGTGACGGAAGCAAGCAGGTTCATGTGGGATTGGGGAGAAGGTGATGAGTGTGGAGTAGGGGGCTCATAGTTCAGAGATGGTCCCGTCCCAACCCCCGCCCTGTCCTCTCTTCCCCTACAGACGGCCGAGATGGTAGAAGCCACCAGGAGGGAATATGAACAATTTGTGCAGAAGCAGGTGAGCGCAGAGGGGCTGTGGGTCAGGGATAAGAGGCACTGGCAGAGCTGGGGGAGCAGGGCCGGGCTAGCAGGGGGCTGCAGGTGGGGGTTGAGGAGGGCTGTGGGTATGTGAGGCAGCAGTGCTCCCTGTGGCTGGGTAACGCTAGTGCCCGTCCCTAATGGCCGATCTTTCCCTGTTCCCGGTAGGACCGTGAACATCAGAGCATGAGCAGCTGCCTGAGGGTGAAGCCTGAGGAGATGAAGCAACTCCTGGAGGGGAAACGCCAGGAGCTGCTGGAGCGCTGCCGGGGGGAGCTGCTGGGCGAGGACCCCCAGAAACAGGCGGCCCTGGAGGAGCTGAAGCAAGAGCTGGACAGGCAGATGGACCAGTTCCTGCCGGCCTACGGGCAGCGCTTTAAAGTGAAGAAGGCCGTGGGGTTGGGCCTGGCTGTGGGTGGGAGGGGAAAGTCCTGGCGGTGGGGAGCGCGGGTATCAGGGCGGGCATCGGTGCGGATGTTGCTGTGGCTGTGATGGCGGTAGGGGGAGCAATGGCCATAGGGGTGGGGGGCTTTAGCCTGATCTGGAGGCTGTGGGCAGGTGGGCGGGGCCGGGTTTGGATGGAAGGTGGCCCGGAATATGACAGGCACCAACACCCCTGGGCAGGGGACGAGGGGGAGAGCAGGGCAGGGTGTTCAGATCAAAAGCCCCTGCTGCTGGGGGACACATAGTGGGAAGGAATCATCACCCCCCCTGCCCCCACGCAAGACTCTGTCCCAGCCCTCAGCACTGAGAACCTCTGTATGCAAGGGGATAGATAGATAGATAGATAGATAGATAGATAGATAGATAGATAGATAGATAGGGGATAGGTATAGATAGATAGATAGATAGATAGATAGA